CTCCAGCTAACTGTACAGTAGCTACAGATAACTGTACAGTGGCTACAGATAACTGTGCAGTGGCTACAGATAACTGTACAGTGACTCCAGCTAACTGTACAGTGTCTCCATCTAACTGTACAGTGGCTACAGATAACTGTACAGTGGCTCCAGCTAACTGTACAGTGGCTACAGATAACTGTACAGTGGCTCCAGCTATCTGTACAGTGGCTCCAGCGAACTGTACAGTTTCTACAGCTAACTTTGCTATGGCTCCAGCCATCTCCAGCATGACTGCAACTAACTACCTGGCTGCAACTCACTGTACATTGGTTGCAACAATGCAGCTCACCAACACTTCGTTGAACATATATTTGTCGTGCCAAATAGGTAAAACTGGTCAATTAGCAACAACTCATTTAAAATTAAGTTCTCTCTAAAATTTTCTCTTATACGTTTAAAGATATATTTTTTTCATTTATGTTAATGTAAAAATTAATAATTTTGTACAAAAAAAAATTAGAAAACTTACCTAACCTTACTATAACAAGCGTAATTTAATTTAGCCTAATCCAACTATATATAATTTAGATAAGTTTACAATAATTTAATAAAAAACAGACACAATCAAATTTAATCTTTTTCTGTAGGTTCACAATGATTTTTGCGAAATTATTACATACACAAATTTTCGCTTGTCTTATTAGGCAAGATGAGCGTTGCTATCTTAGCCAAAATCGCAAGTTTTGCGTATTCGCCACGACATATATATATATATATATATATATATATATATATATATATATATATATATATATATATATATATATATATATAATATATATATATATATATATATATATATATATATTTTTTTTTTTTTATTATCACACCGGCCGATTCCCACCAAGGCAGGGTGGCCCGAAAAAGAAAAACTTTCACCATCATTCACTCCATCACTGTCTTGCCAGAAGGGTGCTTTACACTACAGTTTTTAAACTGCAACATTAACACCCCTCCTTCAGAGTGCAGGCACTGTACTTCCCATCTCCAGGACTCAAGTCCGGCCTGCCGGTTTCCCTGAATCCCTTCATAAATGTTACTTTGCTCACACTCCAACAGCACGTCAAGTATTAAAAACCATTTGTCTCCATTCACTCCTATCAAACACGCTCACGCATGCCTGCTGGAAGTCCAAGCCCCTCGCACACAAAACCTCCTTTACCCCCTCCCTCCAACCCTTCCTAGGCCGACCCCTACCCCGCCTTCCTTCCACTACAGACTGATACACTCTTGAAGTCATTCTGTTTCGCTCCATTCTCTCTACATGTCCGAACCACCTCAACAACCCTTCCTCAGCCCTCTGGACAACAGTTTTGGTAATCCCGCACCTCCTCCTAACTTCCAAACTACGAATTCTCTGCATTATATTCACACCACACATTGCCCTCAGACATGACATCTCCACTGCCTCCAGCCTTCTCCTCGCTGCAACATTCATCACCCACGCTTCACACCCATATAAGAGCGTTGGTAAAACTATACTCTCATACATTCCCCTCTTTGCCTCCAAGGACAAAGTTCTTTGTCTCCACAGACTCCTAAGTGCACCACTCACTCTTTTTCCCTCATCAATTCTATGATTCACCTCATCTTTCATAGACCCATCCGCTGACACGTCCACTCCCAAATATCTGAATACGTTCACCTCCTCCATACTCTCTCCCTCCAATCTGATATTCAATCTTTCATCACCTAATCTTTTTGTTATCCTCATAACCTTACTCTTTCCTGTATTCACCTTTAATTTTCTTCTTTTGCACACCCTACCAAATTCATCCACCAATCTCTGCAACTTCTCTTCAGAATCTCCCAAGAGCACAGTGTCATCGGCAAAGAGCAGCTGTGACAACTCCCACTTTGTGTGTGATTCTTTATCTTTTAACTCCACGCCTCTTGCCAAGACCCTCGCATTTACTTCTCTTACAACCCCATCTATAAATATATTAAACAACCACGGTGACATCACACATCCTTGTCTAAGGCCTACTTTTACTGGGAAAAAATTTCCCTCTTTCCTACATACTCTAACTTGAGCCTCACTATCCTCGTAAAAACTCTTCACTGCTTTCAGTAACCTACCTCCTACACCATACACTTGCAACATCTGCCACATTGCCCCCCTATCCACCCTGTCATACGCCTTTTCCAAATCCATAAATGCCACAAAGACCTCTTTAGCCTTATCTAAATACTGTTCACTTATATGTTTCACTGTAAACACCTGGTCCACACACCCCCTACCTTTCCTAAAGCCTCCTTGTTCATCTGCTATCCTATTCTCCGTCTTACTCTTAATTCTTTCAATTATAACTCTACCATACACTTTACCGGGTACACTCAACAGACTTATCCCCCTATAATTTTTGCACTCTCTTTTATCCCCTTTGCCTTTATACAAAGGAACTATGCATGCTCTCTGCCAATCCCTAGGTACCTTACCCTCTTCCATACATTTATTAAATAATTGCACCAACCACTCCAAAACTATATCCCCACCTGCTTTTAACATTTCTATCTTTATCCCATCAATCCCGGCTGCCTTACCCCCTTTCATTTTACCTACTGCCTCACGAACTTCCCCCACACTCACAACTGGCTCTTCCTCACTCCTACAAGATGTTATTCCTACAAGATGTTATATATATATATAATATATATATATATATATATATATATATATATATATATATATATATATATATATATATATATATTTTGTGTGTGTGTGTGTGTGTGTGTGTACTCACCTATTTGTACTCACCTATTTGTGGTTGCAGGGGTCGATTCACAGCTCCTGGCCCCGCCTCTTCGCTGATTGCTACTAGGTCCTCTCTCCCCTGCCCCATGAGCTCTATCATACCTCGCCTTAAAACTATGTGTGTGTGTGTGTGTGTGTGTGTCTGGGGTGTGTGTGTGTGTGTGTGTGTGTGTGTGTGTGTGTGTGTGTGGGGTGTGTGTGTGTGTGTGTGTGTGTGTAAAGAGAAAAAATTGAAGCGTAATTTGTAACCTAAACTGACTGTAATGTGGACACCTTACAGAGGGCGTGGCATGCAACAGAGGCACAAGCGAGAGGGCGTGAAGTCCAGCAGCAAGCCGTGGGAAGCATCAGAGAGACAGGGATATAAAAGAGAGGCGTGGAATGCACCGGAGAGGCGTGGGATATACCATGAGGCGTGAGATATAACCGGGAGGCGTGGGATATAACCGAGAAGCGTGGGATATAACCGAGAAGCGTGGGATATAACCGAGAATCGTGGGATATAACCGAAAAGCGTGGGATATAACCGAGAGGCGTGGGATATAACCGAGAAGCGTGGGATATAACCGAGAGGCGTGGGATATAACCGAGAGGCGTGGGATATAACCGAGAAGCGTGGGATATAACCGAGAGGCGTGAGATATAACCGAGAGGCGTGGGATATAACCGATAGGCGTGGGATATAACCGAAAGGCGTGGGATATAACCAAGGGGCGTGGGATATAACCGAGAAGCGTGGGATATAACCGAGAGGCGTGGGATATAATCGAGAGGCGTGGGATATAACCGAGAAGCGTGGGATATAACCGAGAGGCGTGGGATACACAGCTGAGTGAGTGAACTTCAAGTCTTGGGGTCGCTAGTTTATCTAAAGTGAATTATGCGCTGAGCGAGGCTCAGCTGTGTGTGTGTGTGTGTGTGTGTGTGTGTGTGTGTGTGTGTGTGTGTGAGTATGTATTCAGCTAGTTTTAGCCCCACCTTTGCGGGTCGCTGCTGGGTATTATAATAGGTATGAAAGGGCTCGATGAAGCCTGTCTCACCTATTCTTAAAACTATATGTGGATCCCGCCTCGACCACTTCACTGTTAAAGTCGCTCCACTTCCTGACCACTCTACCGCTAAAGAAGTATTTCCTAACATCCCTGTGACTCCTGTGCAACTTAAGCTTCCAGCTCTGCTGTTGTGTGTCTGATTTCCGCCTCTCAAACTTTATCCTGTCTATACTGTGCGTACATTCCATTCTGACGTTGCATGCCTCAGTTTGGTCCTAACATGTTAAGAGTGTAATGTAGTTAAGTGGGTGTATGACCCACTTAAAATTTGCATTTATAACTCATTACAATTGTGACCAGGTGTGGACGTATCAGTGGCTCATTACTTTGTAATTTGTTCATGACTGTAACCATGTGTAAGAGTGAGGCTGAGTCATTACCTTTGTAACTTGCCATGTTTGTGACCAGATCTACTTGGAGTTCATTACCTTTGTAACTAGTTCAGCTATCATAACTTTTGGGTCCAGTCCCTGGACCCATTATGTACCTCTGTAATCTTCTGACTACCGCCCACAGGATGGGTATGGGGTGCATAATAAAGATATTAAACTAACTAAACTAATGTCTTCTTGTTGAGGTTCCTGAATGCTAACCCCAGATTTATCAGTCTCAGGTGTGCTGCATTGGTTATTTACTAAACGTGAGTTTTGGTACGAGTGCTTGCAATTGTGCTCATGTTAACACTCACATTCACGCTCGTGAGTTTAAATAAGTGAATAAATATGTCAGTTCACACACACAAACACACACACACACACACACACACACACACACATACACATACATTGGAGTATGGGACACAGCAACAAGGGGACACAGTTGGAAGTTGAAGACACGGATGAATCACAGGGATGTTAGGAAGTATTTCTTCAGCCACAGAGTAGTCAGTAAGTGGAATAGTTTGGCAAGCGATGAAGTGGAGGTAGGATCCATACATAGCTTTAAGCAGAGGTATGATAAAGCTCACGGTTCAGGGAGAGTGACCTAGTAGCGACCAGTGAAGAGGCGGGGCCAGGAGCTAGGACTCGACCCCTGCAACCTTAACTAGGTGAGTACACACACACACACACACACACACACGTGACTCAGATATAATGTCTACTCAAAGGTCTCTATCATTTTGTTAAATCTCATTGTTTCTCTTCCAGCTGGAATGTTTCTTCTGGGCTAAGCACTCTGAGCATCCTCATCAACTTGCAAATATGAGGATTAAACCGCAACAGCCATTGTTATCCCTTCCTTCTAGCTTGTTCAACTCCGCATAAGTAATGAATCATTTGCGCACACTGACATGGAGGAGGCTATTAATTTAGGTAAGTCTTTAACAAATAACACGAATATAATCAGGAAAAACTTGACTCATATGGTTACTACTACTTGGCACTATCACCCTCTCCTTACTGTTTCATCGTTGGTTAATAGGCTTTAAAACCTTCGACTACACCAGGGTCATTAAGAATGCTTGTTTCCTTTCCTCCACCAGTCCATTTAAGGGAGGTTGCTGGATGCTGGTGAAGAGGTTCTTGATCTAGGGAATTGTATCTCTGCTTCAGTTCCCTGAATTAAGTCTGATTGCCGTCTATCACCCCCCCCCCTCCCCTATTCTTTCACAGGCGCTATACAATTATTATGGTTTCAGCGCGCCCCATGAAAAAAATATAATCTTCCACTCAAAGAGAGTTCAGTACTCTCGCTTCACACGGCGAGGGCCTGGGTTCGATTCCCAGCCAGAGTAGAAACATTGGACGTGTTTCTTCAGTACTCGCTTCACACGGTGAGGGCCTGGGTTCGATTCCCAGCCAGAGTAGAAACATTGGACGTGTTTCTTCAGTACTCGCTTCACACGGTGAGGGTCTGGGTTCGATTCCCAGCCAGAGTAGAAACATTGGACGTGTTTCTTTCCACCTGTTGTCTATGTTCCCCATCAGTAAAATGGGTACCTGGGTGTTAGTCGACTGGTGTGGGTCGCATCCTGGGACACTGACCTAAGGAGGCCTGGTCACAGACCGGGCCGCGGGGGCGTTGACCCCCGGAACTCTCTCCAGATAAACTCCAGAATTACTTCTGCTGCTGCTGCTACTACTACTACTACTATTGCTACAACTACTTCTACTACTAATACTACTACTACTGCTGCTGTTACTACAACTACTACAACTACTGCTGCTGTTGCTACAACTACTACAACAGCTGCTGCTGCTGCTGTTACAGCTGAAAGAGTCATTAAGACTGGCTCCTTTACACAACCAGTCAAAATGAGTTCAGTTCCTAAATTAGGTATTAAAATAAGCTCTCACCATATACACATACACTAACAGACATACATCCTGTTGACTGTTAGGTATTACTTTATCTAGTGTGTTTTCCAGATTGTTTAATTTGCTACTTTTCTTTCCGTTTTTTACATTTCCTAGTATGGAAATTGACCTACAAAACAGCAGTGCTCGTTTCTAAATGTTTTGCTAATCTACGTTTCTACATTATGTAGAATAAAAAGGCCCAATGCCATGACTGCATCAATACATTAATAACCCGACGACGACGTTTCGGTGGGTAACGTCATTAAAAGTTTCATTCTCCTATGTGCAAGTTATTGGTCTATGGAATAGCTTCCCTCCAGGTGTGCAGAAATGTGGATGCACTGAGCAAATTGTTGCTATCGGTAGCAACTTACCGTGTATGTCAGATGAATGTTGAATTTACAGAGGCTATCGTTGACAGGTAGAAACTTCAAAGAATGTGATCCAAGAAATAACTAAATTATTAACGTACTCAACTATTGTTTGGTGATTGTCTTGAAGGTTGGTACTGCATATTGTCTTGAAGGTTGGTACTGCATATTGTCTTGAAGGTTGGTACTGCATATTGTCTTGAAGGTTGGTACTGCATATTGTCTTGAAGGTTGGTACTGCATATTGTCTTGAAGGTTGGTACTGCATATTGTCTTGAAGGTTGGTACTGCATATTATCTTGAAGGTTGATACTACATATTGTCTTGGAGGTTGATACTGCATATTGTCTTGAAGACTGATACTGCATATTGTCTTGAAGACTGATACTGCATATTGTCTTGAAGGTTTGTACTATGTATTGTTTTGAAGGTTGGTACTGTACATTATCTTGAAGCTTGGTACTGTATATTTTCCTGAAGGCTAGTACTGCCTATTGTCTTGAAGCTTGGTATTACCTACTGTATTGAAGATTGGTGTTGCCTATTGTATTGAAGGTTGGTACTACCTATTGTATTGAAGGTTGGTACTACCTATTGTATTAAAGGTTGGTACTACCTATTGTCTTGAAAGTTCATGCAACTTAGAATTTACGACACTATCTCTATCAACGCTCAGAGATAAACCAAAAGCTAAGAGCAAAACTAAAAAAATTAAAATAAACTTTATGCATAATCACATAAATACACACATAAAGCAGCAGTAGGAATTACGTGTTGCAGAAGCCTGGTGACAACCATGGGACAAATAATATTTCTCTTATGTTAAAGAGCGCTAAACAAATTTCAGCTGACCCAAGATAAGTTAGGCAGGACCAAGCTGCATTAAACTGCATTAATTTATGAAGGTCAGGCTAGGTCACTAAGCTAATTTTATGTAAAATAAAACGCCAGAACAGAGAGAGAGAGAGAGAGAGAGGGAGAGAGAGGAGAGAGAGAAAGAGAGAGAGTAAGGAAATGTTGTTTGGGCAGTCACAGAAGAGGCAGAAGAAAAAATCCCAGAGTAGGAAAAAGAATCACACAGTCTCCCTTGAGCTGGAAATAAGGTGAGCTTGACAGCGGCCACCAATAAAGTGAAAATAAAGGAGGAAATGCAGGAGCCATTAGGGAGCTCTGCATTACTTACCATTTAGGCTTTGCTCGCCCCATCAAAACACCTCCGGCACTTTCCACGCGACTTTTACTAGCAAACACTTGCACCAGAACAGCTTACGATCTCACGGGAGAACCACCAACACAGACGATATCCTTTATACCTTCCATATATCTTCCCCGAACCCAAAGGTTTATCTCCTATCGGTAAAATAAAATCCCTCACCCCCCTGCCGGTAACTGTAAATTCCCCCAGATGTTCTCGCCTGGGAGGGACGAGATGACGACAGGGAAGCGGTCTGTTTATGGCTGCATCGCCCACGGACGCGACGGGAATTTTGAGGGGAAGATTTAGGGGAGAAAGGTGCGGATGACAGATATTGCGGGGGAAAACCTATCCCTGCGTAAGATATTATTCCCGAGAGCCTCAGCCTTCAGATTTCTGGATTAGTGAAGGTGGTGGATGTGGTACGGCTGGTGTTGCTGCAGCTAGTGCAGCTGCAGGTGGTGGTTTTGCGGCTGGTGGTGCTGCAGCTGGTAGCTGCGGTGGTGCTGCTGCTGCAGTAAAGCTTGGGTTGAAAGTCGTTGTTTAGTTTAGCTATATTAGTGGAATCCATGGAGTGAGAAAGGTGATCACAAGGTGAGGCAAAGCCACGGGTAGGTACAAGCCAGAGCGGAGGCCGTCAACTCAACCAAGCTTCTCCATGGTCTTTAGTCAGTGAACACTGGAAAGTCTGTAGTCAGACACCACTGGAAGGTCTGTTTTCACAGTGACCCTCGGAAGGTTTATACTCAGTGACAACAAAAAGTTCTTCAGTCAGTGACCACTGGATGGTGTATAGTCAGTAACCAATGGAAGGTCTCTTGTCACTGCGAGCAATGGAATCTCTTGCCACTGTGACCATTTGGAATAGTATTGTATAATAGTTCAAATTGAAGAATAATATGAAGTATAGATGTTGATGGTCTGAAAGGTATATAATTCAGGTGATCCAACTTCTTCGATCACCTGGAATTCAGCAATTATATAATTATTTTTTTTTTTATTATCACACCGGCCGATTCCCACCAAGGCAGGGTGGCCCGAAAAAGAAAAACTTCACCATCATTCACTCCCAAATGTCTTGCCAGAAGGGTGCTTTACACTACATTTTTAAACTGCAACATTAACACCACCCTTTAGATGCAGGCACTTTATTTCCACTCCATGGACACAAGTCCGCTCAGGTTTCCCTGAATCCCTTCATAAGTACCTTTGCTCAATGCAAGCACTAAGTATTGAAAAATTGTAACTCCTTCACCAAAACTAGCTTCCTGAACCTTTGAAGATCATAGCCCCCCACCATAACCATCCTTTTACCCTCCTCACAACCGCCTAGGCCGATCCTACCGCCTTCTTCCTACAGACATCTCTTGAAGTATTCTGTTTGCTCCATTCTTTACATGTCGAACACCTAACAATCTTCATCAGCCCTCGAAACAGTTTGGTAATCCCGCAACCCCTAAATTCCAAACTACGAAATTTTGCATTATATTCACACCAACATTGCCCTAGATGACTTGACCTCGCCTCCTTTGCCTTTCCTTCAAACTTTAGCACTCTTCCCCATAAGGGTTGGTATAAATATTCATACATTCCCTCTTTATTCCAAGGACATATTTTTTTTCACAGATCCTAGTGCACCATACTCTTTTTCCCTCATAATCTAAGTTACCTTTTCATATTCAAACACCACCTGAAGTCCACCAAATACTGATACGTTCACTCCTCCATATCTTTTCCCCTCCAATTTGATATTATTTTTCTCACCTAATATTTTTGTTATCCATAACCTTACTCTTTCCTGTATTACTTTAATTTTCTTCTTTCACACCTACCAAATTCATCCACCAATCTCTGCAATTTCTTCAGAATCTCCCAAAAAGCACAGTGTCATCAGCAAAGAGCAGCTGTGAAAAACCCCCACTTTGTGTGTGATTCTTTATCTTTAACTCCACGCCTCTTGCCAAAAACCCTGCATTTACTTCTCTGAAAACCCCATCTATAAATATATTAAACAACCACGGTGACATCACACATCCTTGTCTAAGGCCTACTTTACTGGAAAAAATTTCCCTCTTTCCTACATACTCTAACTTGAGCCTCACTATCCTCGTAAAAACTCTTCACTGTTTTTCAGTAACCTACCCCTACACCATACACTTGCAAAATCTGCCACATTGCCCCCCTATCCACCTGTCATACGCCTTTTCCAAATCCATAAATGCCACAAAGACCTCTTTAGCCTTATCTAAATACTGTTCATTATATGTTTCACTGTAAAACACCGGGCCACACCCCCCTCCCTTTTTCCTAAAGCCTCTTGTTCATCTGCTATCCATTCTCCGTTTTTACTCTTAATTCTTTCAATTATAACTCTCCCATACATTTTTACCAGGTACACTCAACAGACTTACCCCCCTATAATTTTTGCACTCTCTTTTTCCCCTTTG